AAATACTGGGATTATGGGCTTGAGCCACCGCACCTGGCCTCCTACAGAAGTTTTAGTTGTGTCTGCGTGTGTGTGTGTGTGTGTGTATGTATGTATGTGTGTGTATAATATACACATATATACGCACACACAATATACCACTCAGGGATACAGCACCTGGTATGCTCTTAGTTGTTTGCTTTTGTTTGTTCTATTTTTGAGATGTGTAGAGGATACAGCCAATAGGCACGTAGTACCTGCTGTGAACTTGATGCTGTGGAGGATGCAGTGATGAATCAGAAAGCCCAGTTACCATGGCTTTGCATGTTTTTAAATGTCCTAAAAGTGAATCATAGTGAATTCAGCTGCAACCTGCTTTTTTCTATTCAATGTGATTTTTGAAGAGAATTTTTTTTTTTTTTTGAGTTGGAGTCTCACTGTCGCCCAGACTGGAATGCAGTGGCCGTTCCCGGCCACCGCAGCCTCGACCTGCTGGGCTCTGGCGATCCTTCCGCCTCAGCCTTCCAAGTAGCTGGAATTAGAGTCATGCGCTACCACGCCCAGCTGATTTTTTGATTTATTGTAGAGATGAGATCTCGCTGCCCAGGCGGGTCTTGAACCCTCGGGCTCAGGCAACCACTCACCTCAGCCTCCCAAAGGCGTGGGATTACAGGCTGAGCCACCGAGCCCGTCTTGAAGAGAATTTAATGTTAGGGTTCTTCGTTGGAAGAGAGCTTATGACTACATATTGACTAGAGGCTTTGCTTTGCTTTCTTCCTTTTCCATTTTCTGAGTTTTCTCTTTCTGTTATTTGAGTTAATCATATCTACTTAGTATTATTCTCATATTTACCTGTCCTTTTATTCTACTTTTTGGTGGAGTTCCTCAAATCTTTTAACTAGTTTGGTTTTTAAGTTTGGAATACTTTTGTTATTTGTGCATTGTCTTCTTTCCAAGTTTTTTGTTTGTCTGATTTGGTCTCTTTCTGTCATGTGAGACTTTCCTCAAATGTCAGTGTGTTGATCTTTGACCTCATTTCCTGGAAACCTGATTGGAAGCCCTGCGTGAGTGACCAAGTCTTATCAACTGTTGGGCTTTTACTGCTAGGTTTGTGTACAGAGACCCATTTTTCTTGGGGGATTCACAGCTATCAATCTCTAAAGATCTTTTTTCCTTGGGCTGGTTTTTTTCTAGAGAAGAATTCTTTAATCTCCTGCCTTAGAACATAGGGAATGTATGTAAACCAGAATATTGAGTCCTGGATGTGTGCAGGGAAGAGGAGCTGGGAGAAGGGTTGGAAGTGTCTTCCATTGTTCAGTTTGTGGACTTTCACTTTACCGTTTATTTTCTATTTATTTATTTATTTGTTTTTATTTTTTGAGTTGGAGTCTCACTCTGTTGCCCAGGCTGGAGGGCAGTGGCACGCTCCCGGCCACCGCAGCCTCAACCTGCTGGGCTCCGGCGATCCTTCCGCCTCAGCCTTCCAAGTAGCTGGAACTATAGTCATGCGCTACCACGCCCAGCTAATTTACCGTTTATTTTCTTTACTGTGCTACTCTCCATCCTGTTCCTAAGCCTATCTGGTTCAGACCTCCAGTTTTCTCCAGCATAAGGAGAGAAGGATTTTGTTTTGTTTGGGTTAGCTCATGTCTGAATAGGAGACAAGCCAACTAAAGACTTTTAACCAGTACTCTTCTCAGCTTCATCTTTCTATTTTTCTTTTTCTAGTCAGAGTCTCACTCTGTCGCCCAAGCTGGAGTGTAGTAGCATGATCACAGCTACTGCAACCTCAATTTACTGGGCACAGATCAGCCTTCCAGGTAGCTGGGACTGTAGGCATCCGCCACCACGCCCAGCTAATTTCATTTATTGATTGATTGTAGAGCCAGGTTTCTTCATGTTGCCCAGGGTGGTCTTGAACTCCTGGGCTCAGGCAGTCCTCTTGCCTCATCCTCCCAAAGTGCTGACAGGTGTGAGCCACTGTGCCCAGTCCTCAACTCCAGCCTTCAGTACTGTCTTTTATAGTACTTGGTTTCTATAATCCCTTTAGTGGGAATAAGTTTGCTTCTCAGTAGTACTACCAACCCCGTGCCTCCGACACGCTCTTTGCAAGCACTTGAGTTTCACATTTTTAATTAAGTAGTTGCCAGGCATCAGTTCTCTTTATGGCCTCAGAAAACTGGTTCACATATCCCATATCCCATTTGCATTTGCTTAGTCCTTGTGTATTTACCCTAAAATTTTTTTTTTGAATAGAGGTTCGGGTATGATGGCTCATGCCTATAATCCCAACACATTGGGAGGCAGAGACAAGAGGAATGCATGAACCCGAGTATTTGAGACTAGCCTGGGCAACATGGCGAGACCTCATTTCTACAATAAATCAAAAAATCAGCCGGGTATGGTGGCATGTCCTGTGGTTCCAGCTACTTGGAAGGCTAAGGTGGAAGGATCACCTGAACCCAGCAGGTTGCGGCTACAGTGGCCATGAGTGTGCCACTGCATTCCAGTCTGAGCGACAGAGTGAGACCCCGACTCAAAAAAAAATTGAATAGAGAAAGGGTTTCACTATGTTGCCTAGGCTAGTCTCAGACTCCTGGGCTGAAGTAATCTTCCCGCCTTGGTCTCTCAAAGTGCTGCGATTATAGGCATAAGTCATTACAGTGCTGGCTTTAGGCTTTGGCCCTCTTATCATTCTTTTCCTCTTTCTTAGGTGATTTAATCTGCTCCAGTGATTTTTAAGAAGCGTGACTATTCTGAGGATTCCCATTTCCTTATAAGTCAGATAGAAATAAAAGTGCTTGCCTTACTTCACTAAGTCATCAAGAGGATAAGTTATACTGATGTGCTTTTATTATTTTATTTTATTTTATTTTTTGAGTTGGAGTCTCACTCTGTCGTCCAGACTGGAGTGCGGTGGCCCCCGGCCGCCGCAGCCTCAACCCACTGGGCTCCGGCGATCCTTCTGCCTCAGCCTTCTGAGTAACCGGAACTATAGGCGCACACTACCACACCTGGCTAGTTTTTAATTTTTTGTAGAGATGAGGTCTCGTCAAGTTGCCCAGGCAGGTCTTGAACCCGCGGGCTCAGGCAATCCACTCACCTCGGCCTCCCAAAGTGCTGGGATTACAGGCTGAGCCACCGAGCCCGACCCTGATGTGCTTTTAAAAGTAAGTGGTAGTTTATTGGCAATGGTGTCTATAGAGGTTGGCTCTTTAGATCATTTGTGTCTTGTACATCAAAAAGTGTGTGTTTTTTTGTTTTGTTTTGTTTTGGTTTTTTTTTTTTGAGTCGGAGTCTCACTCTGTTGCCCAGGCTGGAATGCAGTGACACACTCACAGCCACTGCACCCTTGACCTGCTGGACTCAGACGATCCTTCTGCCTCAGCCTTCCCTGTAGCTGGAACTACAGGAGCACGCCACCACACCTGGCTAATTTTTAAAATTTTTATTGTGGAGACAAGGTATCCCCAAGTTCCCAGGCTGGTCTCAAACCCCCGAGCTCAGGCAATCTTCTTGCCTCTGCCTCCCAAAGTGCTGGGATTACAGGTGTGAGCCACTGCGCCTGGCTTATTTATTTGCTTATGGACATATCCTACTTATTATCCATTATTGTCTGTCTTTGCCTCTAGGGAGTCTAACTATATAACAGGTGCTTAAATATTTGTTGAACCCTTGTTTCCTCATAAGTCAGATGAAATGAAATGTTTGCCAGCCTAGCATGGTGGTGCACCCCTGTAATTTCCAGCACTTTAGGAGACTGAGACAAGAAGATTGCCTGATCCCAGGGGTTCAAGACCAGGCTGGGCAACTTGGTGAGACCTCATCTCTATAATAAATTTAAAAATTAGTCAGGTGATGATGCATGCCTGTGGTTCCACCTGCTTGGAAGGCTGAAGTGGAATGATCATCTGAGCTCAGCAGGTCGAATCTGCAGTTGGCTGTGAGCATGCCACTTCACTCCAGCCTGGGCAACAGAGTGAGAATCCGACTCAAAAAAGAAAAGAAAAGAAAATGCTTGCCTTCACAAAGTAATTGAGGGGATAAGTTACACTGATTTTCTTTAAAAACTAGCTGGTAGTTGTCAAACCGATGCAATGGAATTAAATAGGGAAAATATAATGAAAGGAGCATAACAGGTGCTTAGTAAATATTTGGTGAATGGGTTGATATGATGGGAAACAAAAATAATGAAAGAGGATAAATAAAGTCCTCGGCCTTTTTGAGAAATTAGGTAAATGTCTATTTGGGGTGAGCAACTGAGTTAATTTTGCAGTCCTTTGCAATCTGTTATCCTTTGTAACTTGATGCCAAGAAAAATGAATGTTACCTGGTAAAATTAGGTACAGCGTTATATGCATTTGATTTTGGTAAAAGTCCATATTCACCTCAAGACAAAGAACTACAAAGTGTCTGGGAGATTACTTTCAGACCCAACAGTTTAAACCCCTTATTTTATAGATTTTTCTAGTTTGGAAGATGTTACTATGATCACAGGACTTCATGTTTTCAGAGGGCAAACTGGAAAGCTGGTTAAAAGAGCTTGTATGAGGCCGGGTGTGGTGGCTCACACCTATAATCCCAGCACTTTGGGAGGCTGAGGTAAGAGGATTACCTGAGCCCACGGGTTCAAGACCAGCCTGGGCAACTTGGTGAGACCTCATCTCTACAGTAAATCAAAAACTTAGCCGGGTGTGGTGATGCATGCCTGTTGTTCCAGCTACTTGGAAGACTGAGGGGAAGGATCACCTGAGCCCAGTAGGTCAAGGCTGTGGTGGCCATGAGTGTGCCACTGCACTCCAGCCTGGGTGACAGAGTGAGACTCCAACTCAAAAAAAAAAGTGCTTGTATGAGAAAAACAATGGTTAGCAAACTCTTCTGGCTTAAAATAGTAACTGAAATCTTGTTAAGCTTCTCAGTTCTGCTAAGAATGACCTTAAACAGAAATTCAGAGCAACTATCTGTTATAGCATGCGTTTTATCAATTTTACTAATACTTTTTACAAATAATATTTCCAGTGATGGCTCATGAAACAATGGAGTATGATCTTCAGATGCAGTTAGATCATAATGCTGCACAACAACCAGCTCCTGTTGAAGTGGTCAGCAGCCAAGGGAGACCAGTCCTGTTCCAGCCTGTTTCTGTTGAAGTGATCAACAGCCAAGGGAGACCAGTCCTGTTCCAGCCTGTTTCTGTTGAAGTGGTCAGCAGCCAAGGGCGACCAGTTCTGCTCCAGCCTACTCCTGCTGAAGTGATCAGCAGCCAAAGAGAACCACCTTTCCTTCAGCCTGCTCCACAAGTGTCCATTGACCTGACAGAGGAAGTGGAGTACTTGGGAGAAGAAAATGTGGAGAACATCAATCCGAGAGCTTCAGAGCTGCATAGACAATCTGACACTAACCGCACCATCCAATCTTCATTGGAATCCGTGAACAACTTTGTCAGTGGGCTGCAGAGACTTCATGGCATGCTAGAATTCTTGAGACCTCCATCTTCAGGCCACAGTGTGGGGCCAGTGAGAACAGGGAGAAGGAGAGGCTCTGCTTCACGAAGGAGAAGAGCCGGAGGGTCTCAGAGGACAGGCAATGTCAGGTAAATACATGTATAAGTCATGTGATCAGTGGCATACTAGGAAGCTCTGGTCACACCCCCAGTACTGCCAAGGACTGACAGTGTGACTTCTGGCAAGTCAGTCACTTTTCTGAATAAAAGCACTTGCTTTACCTCACTAAGTAATTGAGAGGATAAGTTATACTGATGTGCTTTGAAAAGTAAGTGATAGTTATATTGACAGTGACCTTTATAGAGGTTGACTCTTAAGATCTTTTGTGTCTTACATACCAAAAGGTAGTTCTTAACTTGCAAGTCCACTCAACTCACCCAGGATTCATTGTTCACTGGCACGCCTCTTAGAGGCACAATTAAATGGGCATACTGGATTTAGAGAAGCCTTATGAAAAGTGGAGTGTGAATTAATTTATAGCTCATCTAAGTAGTTGGGAAACATTCTAGCCCTTCTCACCTGAGAATGTGTTATAGAGTTGAAAATCATTTTATTTCATAGTCTTTGATTTGAACTTGCCTCTTGAAGGGCAATATTTTGAAAGGAATCCTGTTTTCTGAGCAAAAGATCTCAACGGTAAGCTTGAAATATTCAGTAAGCCATACTGTAAACAGATGTACTGTTATCCAGGCTTTGTGGTTCCATTTATAAATAAGAGGCGGAATAGATCAAGCATAAATCTCAAGGGCACTAGGATTTTCAGAATGGTGAAAGAACATTGGCTTCAAGCCACCAGACACGATTGCCCCAACAAGATTTGGCCTGTCCTTTGAGCTTTGAAGCCAAGCATTTACTGCTCTGTAGCTATGAAAGTCCTGGATGGCATTTTTTACAATAGAGGTCTGTTTTGTTACATTGAAAATCTGTTGTTTAGTGTAGATACCTTCATAATTTATCTTAGCTATATCTTCTAGATAACGCTGCGGCTATTTTTCTTGACTTGGAATCTCACTCTGGTACCTAGGCTGGCGTGCAGTGGCATGCTTATGGTCACCATAGCCTCTACCTGCTGAGCTCCAGCAATCCTTCTGCTTCAGCCTTCCAAATAGTTGGAACCACAGGCATGTGCCACCACACCTGGCTAATTTTTTTTTTTTTTTGAGTTGGAGTCTCGGTCGCCCAGACTGGAGTGCAGTGGCCACTCCTGGCCACCGCAACCTCGACCTGCTGGGCTCCGCGATCCTTCCGCCTCAGCCTTCCGAGTAGCCGGAGTTACAGGTGCGCGCTACCACGCCCGGCTAATTTTTTGATTTATTGTAGAGATGAGGTCTCGCTTCCCAGGCGGGTCTCGAACCCGCGGGCTCAGTCAGTCCACTCACCTCAGCCTCCCAAAGGCGCGGGATTACAGGCTGAACCACCGAGCCCGGCTAATTTTTTTACTTATTGTAGAGATGAGGTCTCACTAAGTTGCCCAGGCCGGTCTCGAACTGCTGGACTCAGGTAATCCTCTCAATTCTGATTCCCAGGGTGCTAGGATTACAGGCATGGGCTACTGTGCCAGGCCTGCTGCAGCTTCTTTATCAGTACTTGCTGCTTCACCTTTTATGTTATCAAGATGACTTCTTTCCTTCAACATCGTGAACCAGCCTACTCTAGCTTCCAACTTTTCTTCTGCTGCTTCTTCACCTCTCTCTCGGCCTTCATAGAATTGAAGAGAGTTAGGGTCTTGCACTGGATTCAGTTTCGGCTTAAGGGAATGTTGTGGCTGATTTGATCTTATATCCAGACCACTGAATACTATCTCCATATTAGCAATAAGGCTTTCACTTTCTTATCAGTCATGTGTTCAGTGGAATAACAGTTTTAATTTCCTTCAAGAACTTATTCTTTGCATTTACAACCTGGCTAATTTTTTGGTATAAGAATCCTAGCTTTCCATCTGTTTCTGTTTTCTACATGTCTTTTTCACTAAGCTTAGTCATTTCTAGCTTTTGTTTTCCAGTGATAGATGTGTGACCTGAGGAGAGGGAGAAAGATGAGGGGAACAGCCATGGAGTCGAGCAGTCAGAACACATTCATTTATTGATCAAATTTGCCATTTTATATAGGTGCGTTTTTTTATGGCACCCCAAAACAATTACCATAGTAACATTATAGATCACTGATATCATATCACCATAATAAATGTAATAATCATGAAAATGTTTGAAATATTGCAAGAATTCCCAAATGCTACAGAGACTGAAAGTGAGTGCATGCTGTTGGGAAAATGGCATCAATAGATTTGTTTGGCACATGCAAAGCAAAGCGAAGTGCACTAAAGTGAGGTATGTCTGTATACTATTTAAATAAATTAGTATTAATCTGAATTAGATTGTTATTAATTAAGATGTTAATTGTAGGCCCGGCACGGTGGCTTACACCTATAATCCCAGCACTTTGGGAGGCCGAGGTGAGAGGATTGCC